AGTGGAATCCGTATCCTTGAAAAATGAGCATTGAACCCATGGCAACAAATGAGATGCTCATTAAAGCTTAGAGGAGAGAGAGTGAAAGAGATGCAGAAATCAGGATGGAACAGAATCAGATGGAATAGAGTGGTTGAGACCACTTAGAAAGCTTTTAAGGGAGAAAAACAAAGCTTTCAGAGTCTACCTAGACTGAAAGAACAGTCTCATACATGAAGAATTATACCTGATTTTATCTGAGCAATCAAAGGGTAATGTAGAAAGAGCAAACCACATGACACAATCCTGCCAGAAAGCTAATAAAGCATGCAGGACTCCGAGATTTCAACCACAGGAAGGTATTAATAGGTTCTTCTTGTTTGCAACACAGTACAAACAAGCCACTCCACCAAAACCAAATCAGACCTTTACTCTCCCGGTCCTGACCTTGCTTTTTAGAACATATGCATTCAAGAAAGATTATATTAGAATATATGGATTAAATAAAGATCTTTAATGATTTCAATATATTGTTGTTTTAATCTGAGAGCTAGGGAGTCGGAGAGAGAGGGAGAAAGAGAGAAAAAAGAACAAACACACGTGAGCACATTCCCATCTGCTGGTTCACTCCCCGGATGCCCACAAAGCTCCCAGCCTCACCTTTGGCTTCAGTTCAGGTCTCCCACATGGGTGGCAGGGACCCAATTACTTGAGCCACCACTGCTGTCTCCTGGGTCTTTACTGATGGGGAGCTGCAATCAGGAGCCAGAGCCTGAACTCAAACCCAGACCTTCTGACGTGGCTCGCAGGAATCCTAACCATGAGGCAAAATGTCCTCTTCCTTAATGTTAATTTTAACCTATATGCAACAATAAACGATCAATCTGACTTGACATTCATTTAAAACCTAGGTTTGGCAGAATTTATTAAATGGTTTCCAATTTTTTTTTAATTTATTTGACTGCTAGAGTTATAGACAGTGAGACAGAGAGACAGAAAGGTCTTTCTTCTGTTGGTTCCCTCCCCAAATGGCCACCATTGCCAGCGCTGTGTTGAGCCGAAGCCAGGATCCAGGTGCTTCTCCCTGGTCTCCCGTGCGGGTGCAGGGGTCCAAACACTTGGGCCATCCTCCACTGCTTTCCAGGCCACAGCAGAGAGCTGGACTGGAAGAGGAGCGACCGGAACTAGAACCCAGCACGCATATGGGATGCTGGCGCTGCAGGTGGAGGATAAACCAAGTGAGCCACGGCACCAGCGCCCCAATTTTTATTTTATTTTATTTTTAAAAATTTTTTTGACAGGCAGAGTAGATAGTGAGAGAGAGAGACAGAGAGAGAGAAAGGTCTTCCTTTGCCATTGATTCACCCTCCAATGGCTGCCGCGGCCGGCGCCCTGCAGCCGGCGCACCGCGCTGATCCGATGGCAGGAGCCAGGTACTTATCCCGGTCTCCCATGGGGTGCAGGGCCCAAGCACTTGGGCCATCCTCCACTGCACTCCCTGGCCACAGCAGAGAGCTGGCCTGGAAGAGAGGCAACCGGGACAGAATCCGGTGCCCCGACCGGGACTAGAACCCAGTGTGCCAGCGCTGCAAGGCGGAGGATTAGCCTAGTGAGCCGCGGCGCCAGCCCCAATTTTTTTAATTGAAAAAATTTAAACATTTTTTGTTTTCAAATTAAACATGCCTCAAAGATTTTATAATATGTGACAATGATTTAAAATATTTTTTCCTTTTTTAAAAAAGATAGTTCACTGCTGTCATAGCTTCTTTGTGCAAAGCACAGTGTATGGGTAGTAGGTCAGGTGCAAGATAAGATCATAATTTAAAAATATGATATTTAATATGACAGAGTAAAATTAAAGAGAAAAACTGTATATCATGGCTCACCAAAGAAGCAAAGCTGTGATAATAGATTAACAGAATCATCTGCAAAGTACTTTGACCCATATAGCAGGTTGGGTCTCTTAGCAAATACCTTTTGTCCACTTGTCTTTGCATCACTGCTGTAAAGTCCCTGTCTCTTCTCTCCCTCTGGAGACTCTTGGTCATTCTCTATTTGGGAACTCAGGTGGCACCCGACACAGGCAGGCCCTTGATGTCCCCTATGCACGCTTGTTCACAGCATACATGTCACACTGCTGTCCTGCCATAACTGTTGTCTGCTTACCTGCCTCACAGTACACAGCAGCTGGCCCTCGGGTTGGGTGTCAGACAGTCATGGTTTTTAATAACTTTTTCAATACAGTAACTTGCAAATAAGGTTTCTGAATATAGAAATTAATAAGTCATATTCTGTGCCATCAAAATGACCTGAAGCAGTGCTGTATTTTAAGAAAAAAGTCTGGGGACTGGTGTTGTGGCGTGGCAGGTTAGGTCACTGCCTGCCAATGCTGGCATCCTATATGGGCACTGGTTCAAGTTCCAGCTGCTCCACTTCCAATCCAGCTCCCTGCTAATGTGCCTGAGAAAGCAGAAGAGCCCACGGTCAAGTCCTTGGGTCCCTGTACCCATGTGGGAGGTCAGAAGAAATTCCTGACTCCTGGCTTTGGCTTGGCCCAGCCCCAGCCATGGTGTCCAATTGGGTAGTGAACCAGTGGATGGAAGAACGATCTCTCTTCCCCCCTCTACCTGTCTCTCTCTCTCTTCCTCTCCCTCTGTCTCTCCCTCTCTAACTATGCCTTTCAAATAAATCTTAAAAACAGACCCATATATATGAAAGTGTGCACTGCAACCATTAAAAATAAAGTCTGACCACTCAACACAGAAAGTAATCAGGGAGAACTTGCAGGCTCAAAGTGCTTCTTTGACCAGCATGTTAGCTTTCCACAGAAATATAGTAATGCTTAGCTTTGAAAGATAAAGAAACTTAAACGCCTGAGTTAAATATATAAAAGCTATTCACAATTAAACCATGAAGGAGTAGCCTCCTCATCTTACTGAATGCCTTCTATTCCAGCCGACAAGAGTCCACCAACCTCTAACAGTGGGGGCCTGTCCAACTACGATGGGATGGAGATTTCTGAGAGAACACAAAGCAGATCCTTGGCTGGATACAAAAACAGGGTGCAAATGACAGCTACCACAGAACACAACACTGGTCCTTCCCTACCTATCACGTGTTTTTTCCAAAGCTTTGGTTACCTGCAGTCAACCATGGTTCAAAAATATTAAATGGAAAACTCCAGAAATAATTCATATGTTTTGGGTAGCATGATGACAGCGCTCTCTCTGTTCCACCTGAGATGTGAATCAGCCCGTACATGCTACCTACTTGTTAGTCACTAAGTAGTCACTGGTTATTAGGTCAAACATCACAGTATCACAGTGCTTGTGTTCAAATACCATGCCTGACTTTTTTTTTTACTTAGTGACGACCCCAACTACAACATGAGTGAGGCTGTGAATTTGGGTATGTTGAAGAGGAGCTGGAAAGTGCTGCCTTCAAGTGAAAAGGTCCAAATACTCCACTTAAGGAAAGAAAAAACTCAGCAGGCCAAGGCTGCTAGGATCTACAGCAAGAAAAATCTCCTATCTGAGTAACTATGAAGAAGGAAAAGAAATGCGTGCTGCTCTTGCTGTTGCACTTCAAACCACAAAAGCTATGGCCACAGAGCGTGATAAGGCACCAGAGGCATTAAATTAAGGGGCTCCCTACTGTCTCGGTTCCAGGCATTCACTGGGGATGTGGTGGCACTGCTGTATCCGTTCCTTACTTCTGCCCATCTGGAGTCTCCTCCTATTTCAGGAGCTATCTTCTCCCTCTTGCTTAGTTCTGCTCCATTTGTCAAATCAGCCTCACCAGGGAGTGCTGGCTGCGGGGAGCCCAGATGGCCACACTCAGCCGGCTCTTCAGGAACCCGCCTGCCTGCAGGAAGTCTGTTGGGGCCCTGGGGAAGGGGGTGGGGTGGGAGGGTGGGGAAGCGAGGTACAGAAGAGCAGCCGGGTGTGCTCCATTTGCATCTAAAAAAAGACCTTGTGGCAAAAGAAAAGACTTCCTCTGGTCATTATGTCAGGAGACAGAAACAGGCATGTGTTGAAAGAATTTAAACAAGGACATCAGACTTTTGAAAACGAGCTTTCTGTAAATTTCACAAATTTGAGCTCTTGAATAACAGAAAAAGGATGTGCCATAAAAGAGGCCGCATCCTCCAAATCACACAGTAACTGTTAGAAAGTGCAGAACTTCAAAACAGCTAGAGGCCATTCACTGAGAAGATTCTGATGCCCTAAGTTGGTCATAGTTTCAAAATGCTTAGACACTCTCTGGAGACGGAGGCATGCTGAGCAAGCATTTTATCTTTTCAAAGCACATAAAGAGAGGATCCCGTGTTAGCAACTTTGCATAAATGGACTTCACATGAAAGCAAGGGAGGAGCTGGCACCAGCCTCCTTGCCTGCTGTTCTAGAAGGCGGTGACTGTTCAACCTCTGAGTGTTCTGATCTCTGCTTCCTGGTAGTTAGTGCGATGACTCAGCTTTCCTGGAGAATACAGGCAAACACTGGAGCTGCTAAGCTTTTCCCTGGGCTTCAGGTAACGAGAAAAATCAGACAGTAGGGTAATGGGTCTCTCGCTTTTCCTGGCAGCACGAGGCAAGCATCTGTCCACAAACTCAACTCTAGCAGTGTTTTAATGTGGAAGGCAGTAAGCGCCCTAGCAAGTGCCCTTGCAGTACACAGATTTAGGAAGGCTCACACAAAGAAACTGGCGTTTGCTGTCTTTACACGTAAGCTGCAGCGCCCCTTCGCTCAGACACGCATGTTCTCTCCAGTGCCACAGGCAACTGTGACTACAAAACAAATCGTCAAAACGATCCTACTCCAGGGGCTGGACCTGGTGAATACTTCAAACTTGGCTCGACATTTCTATGACCTACTAAACTCTACTTCCCGAGTCACCTGCTTAATTCATAAAGATATGCAGGACAGCGCAGTCACTACAGTGCCACCCCTTTGGTCCTCAAGGCAGAAAAGCCACATTTCAGTAAGAGCGACCCTGAATGATCAAACGAGCGCTTCGGGTACCTAGCTGCTTGTCCCGCTCCTCGCGACGCTCCCGGGCCAGCCGCTGCCGGTCATCAACCCGAAGCACTGGTGGGGGGTCTGAAAAGGAGATGAAGAACACGAGTAAGATTAGAAGAAAAAAACAGCTATGCATGGCTAAATGTCCTTTTGTCCAATAAATGTGATGAATGAAATATTACTGCATGTCCTACAACAATAAGTACATGTGACTCCAGTCACAATAACTGTGTTACTACAACCTGCCTGAGAATTTGCAAGCATTTTCTATTTAAAAGGATTACAGATACACATAACAAAATGGTGTCTATGGGGGTATTTGCATCGAATAACATAAAAGATCTTTTATGTTCCTAAGCTATTGAATTACTGTTGTCTTTATGCTTTACTAAGCCTGTTTCTCGCTAACACATGGAATCCTAAGGAAGTGAATTAGTGCTGAGTGGCTGTTTAGCAGTGGGAGATGAGGAGCCTGGTGTTGGAGGCAGACGGACGTGACTTTGGTTTCTGTTCTGTCACTCACTTGTTATGTGAATTTGGCCAAGTCATTCGCCTGCCTACATCTCAAGCTATGATGCAAGTCTGCATTTCTTACCTGTAAAGTGAATATAAAACAGAACCTATCTTACATCATAATTACGACAATGGGTGCTATTAGTATAGTGCTTGGCACGTAACGCCCAGTGAATCAGTTTGTCCCTTCAGGACATTCTAAACATCCACCAAAGGCTGGGCACTGTCCTGTACACTGAAAAGAGGCCATCAGCTAAATCCTGGGCCCTCATGGAGTCCACATTCTACTTGTGGAAAAATGGAATGGAGAAATAAAATCTATAGGTTGAAGTGGGGGAAAGAGGGCCTGGCGCTGTGGCGCACTAAGTTAATCCTCCGCCTGAGGTGCCAGCATCCCATATGGGCGCCGGTTCTGGTCCTAGTTGTTCCTCTTCCAGTCCGGCTCCCTGCTGTGACACGGGATAGTAGTGGAGGACGGCCTGGGTGCTTGGGCCCCTGCACCCATGTAAGAGACCAGGAAGAAGCTCCTGGCTACTGGCTTTGGATCGGCGCAGCTCCGGCCATTGCAGCCATTTGGGGGGTGAACCACTGGAAGGAAGACCTTTCTGTCTCTCTCTCTCACTATCTGTAACTCTACCTGTCAAATAAATAAAATAAAATCTTTAAAAAAAAAAAAAGGAAAAGAGGGGGACAGAAAATACAAAGAGTGCTAGACTGAGATATAGCAGTTCAGGGTTTTTAGAGGGTCTCAAGGGTCTCCTGTGACAGTAACTTTGATATGTAAATACCAGACAGAAGGGAGGGAGCTAGCTGTGCATATATTCCACAGAAGCCAAGTGCAAAGGCCCAGAAGTCACAGTACCTAATATGCTCAAATGATGGGGCTAGGGACACCTGGCTGGGGGTTGTTGGTCCTGGGAGGATTTGGGATGATGCCATGAGTGCATGTGTCCAGCACACAACTGCAGTCACAAGCCATATAGAAACAAAATGATAATGATCAGGTTTAGTTTTCCTTGTACTAAAATGACACCCTGCTCTTCACATAAACAAATTGCATTCTGTCTGGTAATGTAATATATAAGAAACAAGGTTGTACACAGTGCTGCACAAATAGAGCAATTAATCACTGCAAATGCTTAGAGCTGCAACAGTTCCCATGGTTCCCCTTTGGAGGAGGGAATGAATCCATGCAACATCAAGCTGAGCGTCTGTCTAGCAGGTAGGATGCCTCTTGCGATACCTACATCCCAAACTGCAGCACCTGCATTTATTTTTTGACAGGCAGAGCGGACAGTGAGAGAGAGAGAGAGACAGGGAGAAAGGTCTTCCTTTTGCCCTTGGTTCACTCTCCAATGGCCGCTGCAGCCAGCGCACCGCGCTGATCTGAAGCCAGGAGCCAGGTGCTTCTCCTGGTTTCCTATGTGGGTGCAGGGCCCAAGTGCTTGGGCCTCCACTGCACTCCCGGGCCACAGCAGAGAGCTGGCCTGGAAGAGGAGCAACTGGGACAGAATCCGGCTCCCCGACCGGAACTAGAAACCGGTGTGCTGGCGCCCCAGGTGGAGGATTAGCCTAGTGAGCCACGGTGCCGGCCATCGCCTGGGTTTAATTTATTTATTTGAAAGGCAGAGCTACAGAGGCAGAGAGAGAGAAAGGCAGAGACAAAGAGAGAATTTTCCATCCACTGGTTCATTCCCCTAATGGCTGCAATGGCTGGAGTTGGGCTGATCCAGAGCCAGGGACCAGGAGCTTCTTCCCAATTTCCCACAAGGGCTCAAAGATTAGGGCTATTTTTCACTGCTCTCCCAGGTGTATTAGCAGGGAGCAGGATTGGAAGTGGAGTGGCTGGGACTCGAACTGATACCCATATGGGATGCTGGTGCTGCTACTGGCTTTACTTACTATGCCACAGCACTGAGCCCTTGGCTCTGCTTCTGATTCCATCTTCCTACTATTGCACAACCTGGGAGCTAACAGGTCAAGTACTTGGGTTACAGTCACCAGTATACACAGTGAATTCCTGGCTCCTAGTTTTGGCCTGGTCCAGCCCTGGGTGTTGCAGGCATGCCTCTCTTTCTCTCTCTCTCAAATAATTAAAGTTTGTTTCTTAGTTTTAATAAGTAAAAATTTATAAAAATTGATCTTCAAAAAGGCAAAAAAATACAACTGAATAATTCTAAGTAAATAGATAATTTTCTATAATTTGCTGCCTTCCTTTTCATTTCCATCCCACATTTTTTCCCTCCTGGAACAAAATCAAGGTTTAGAAAATACCATTACATCCACATGGTTTCCCACTGGATCTAACATTATCAGAATAAAATAAAGCTGCTGATTCTCTCAGTGGCAAAAAAAAAAAAAAATTTCAAAAGCAACAGGTTTTTGGTGTAAATAAGCTTGCAGTTGCTCTCTGCATTCAACCTAAATCTATGATGATAACATGTAGGGTGATCATCCAAACTGGGCACTTTAAAGAGTGAGAGAGAATGCCAGTGATATTCCGTGTGCAATGCCGTTCACAACCCTGAACTCTCCTGCACAAACCCAAAAGTCTGGTCACTCTACTACTATAGAACACTCCTGATGATCAGGAAAATCAACTCCCGTGCACAAGGCTTTTTCAGACCCAGTCCAGCCGGATTCATATTTAACAACTACTGTGTATATGATAGATAACTTCTATGAGTGCTTTGCATTTTACAAAGCGCTTTCACAACAATTATCATTTTATTCTTCCTGATAATTCCATGAGTTAGCTAAGGAATTATTCACTCAATGAAGAGTTGTCATGCCCATTTTTCAGGTGAGAAAACTAAGAGAAATAAATAATGACCAATGAAGGTGGTAGAGTTAAGTGTTAGACTAGGACTTAAAACCAGATCTCTAATGCAATACTTGTGTCCTTTGTGTAGACTTGTGGCACTGACAGTTGTTAGAACAGCAGGATGGTATAGTCAGGGAAGGGCTGGAAGCTTCCAGGCATGCATTTCTCTGTGAGGGGAACTACTGATAAGCAATAAGGCAGAATGAAGACTTAGAGGTTCTTTCAAAGACTTGTGGTGAGAAGTAGTAAAGGGACAGGAATTAAGAGTTGCTTTTTTTTCCCCCAAATTCAAAGGTCCCTGATTGACTTTCTAAATAAATTATTTTTATTAATTCAAATGAGAGAAAGAACAAAGAGAGAGAGAGAGACAGAGAGAATATCAATCTTATCAATATATCAATATTATATATATATCAATCAATATCAGTTCACTGGCTCATACCCTTAAAGTTTACAACAGCCAGGCAGGGCTGGGCCAGGCTGAAGTCAGGAGCCAGGAACTCGACCCAGGTCTCCCACACGGATGGCAGGGACCCAGGACCTGAGTCATCACCTGCTTCCTTCCAGAGGGGGCATTCACAAGAAGCAGTCATCAGAGGTGGAGCCTGGGGCCAGTGTCATTGTGTGGCTGATTATTCCACTTCAAATCCAACTCCCTGCTAATGAGCCTCAGAAATCAGGGGAAGATGTCCCAAGTACTTGGTCCCCTGTCACCCTTATGACAGACCCGGATGGAGTTGCAAGCTCCTGGCTTCTGCCTGGCCCAGCCCTGGCCATGGTGGCCATTTGAGTGAATCAGCGGATGGAAAATAATCTCCCCCGCTGCCCCTCTCTAAGTGGAGTGTAGACTTGAAATGGGCATCCCGAGTGGTGCCTCCACTGCTGCACCAAATGCCTGCCCCAAGAAAGTTTTTTTGTATTTTTAATGAATTTGAGTCTCTATTTTACGCAGGTCAATGAGAAAAAAGAAATTTTTCTTCTCATTAGGCAAACATTTGGAAGCAGCTCTGAAGAACCATCTCTCACTTCTTCAGGACTAGCAGACATAGTTGACATTCAAGTATTCACAGCTGGGAGTGATTGTCTTCCTAGAAGTCAGGGGAGAGAGTGTGCCCCTTCCTATGATGCTCCAGAATGGGCTTCCCAAGCAGGTCTGAGTGTGGACAGCTGCTTTCTAAGGCAGAAATCTTCTGGAGTCATCTAGTGAGTTCCATGCAACTGGACACAAAGGAAGACTGGCAATGCAGCTAGAATGTACTGGGCAAAAAGGCTCTCTGAGGAAGCTCTTGGTCATGCTGCCTGTCTGGTGTTGGGAGAGGACGCAAGCATCCCAAATACAGCATGTGCTTTTGTCCTTTTTAAGTTCTAGACAATGGAAATCAATAAAGTGCTTTAGACATCATTCCAAGATTCATGTTCCATAAAATCAAAAGGTTTTACTCCAGCCCTCCAAAACTTTTTAGAAATTAAGTATCAGAGAGAGAGAGAGAGAGAGAGAGAGAGATGCTCTCATCCACTGGGCCTATTGGTTTACTCCCCAGATATCTCCAACAGCCAGGGAAAGCTATGTTAGGACCAGAACCAGGAGCTGAAAATTGAACCCAGGTTTTCTACACGGGTGACAGGAACCCAATTACTTGCATCATCAGTGTTGCTTCTAGTCTGCATGGGAAAGAAGATGGAGTAAGGAACTGGAGCCAGGAACTGAACCCAGGCACTTCACTGTGGGATGCGGGGGACTTAACTGCGAGGCTAAATGCCTGTTCCCCCACATAAGCGCTATATCAGCATAGTATACACAAGCAAGTAAAGGAATGCTCAAGAGGCATAATCAGAAATGAGATGTCTTCTCATCTGAGTTGATTTGAGCAATATAAATCAAATGGCTCTAAAAGGAGATAGTCAACTGGGGTGACCACACTCGCACTGCTATTCTGTGTCAGGATGACCAATTCATACACTGGTATATTCATACACTGTAGGTTAAGGACATGTCTCTTAACAATATATCCTTAGTATCTTCATGATGCTAACATTAGATGAACCAAGCAGTTATCAGGACAGAAAGGTAGGAACCGCACAGTACAGAATGGAAAAACATGAAAATCTAATGGTGAATAAGAAGAATGAGAGAAAAAAAAAAGTACAAAGAATTTAGCTGTGTTATATTCTCAAAGAAAGGCAAATGGGGTTTTCACAGTAAAGAACTTCTACTCCCACAGAGAAGATCCACTAGAAGACGCTCCATGAGCAGAGGCAGCACCTCTCACACTCCCAGGCCTAGAAGAACAACTCAGGGATAATTAGATGGTGGTGGGAGGTGGGTGGACAGATGGGCGGATTGATGGATGAGTGAATGAATGAATGAATGATTGAAAAGGCAAGCTGACTAATGGGGAAATCTCAGACTGCTAATTAAATTTCTGCCAAAATTGTACATTTTCCACCAAAAAGCTACTCAGGCAATACTCACAACAATATTTGTTACTATCATTCTTCTAAATGACAAGGCAGATTTACCTGTTCTTTAAAGATCTTTTTGACATTAGAGGGGAAAAAAATCACAAAATGAAGTAAAATGGAGAATGGTTTCTTTGAAGCAAGATCCAATGATTCCCATCTTTATTCTCACAGACACACTGTTCTTGAGTGACTCTGGCCTTAGGACTAAGCATGAACAGGGCTTCCAGGAACCTCATGGGGTATTCAGCTTGCTGTACCATCCTTTGCCCATCTCTCATCACCACCTGGAACATTCATCCCTCCCCAGGAACACACCATGGTTGTGGGATATCAGGAAGTAACTGTGCTGTCTCTTCGATTGTTTCCACTGCACTTACAGACTGTTTGCTGCTTTCTATTGCTGAGTAGAACAGACCGTGAGTCACAGTCTATTAAATGAAGTCACTGCGTAGGTGTACAGCCAGCGCAGGGAACAGGGAACAAAAACACAATTCCCTATGAGCTTTGCCATGTGTAAAGACTTCTTCAAGTGATTTTTGAAAAAGTCACAAAAGGGATACACAATAATGGTGGGCATACAGATATCAAAAAATTCTATCTCATCTACCATTTTACACGGAGTAGAGAAATTATTACCTCTGCACAATGAAAATATATCTGCCCTATAGCATTTCACTGATTGTCAAAATGAGTCTGAGAAGTAAGCAGGCCAGGTGTTGGCATCTCCGTGTTAAAGAGAGGAAAACGCCAAGGCTTTGAGAGGTTTTCAGCCTCAAACTAGTACAAGAATGTAACGAGTGTGTGTGTTTTCATGGCAGAACCAGAACCAAGTGCTCCTAAATCCTAGGAGAGCTGAGGGCTTTTGGGAGAACTTGACTATCCCACAGTAAATGCAGCGCATCATACCTGGTTTGTTTCCTGAGTGGCTGCTGTTTTGTCCTGTAACTGCAGAGGAGGAACGGTTCGGGGCAATTTTCTTATCTTGCACTTTATTGCTGTCAGGCGCTGTGCAAATGAGACAAAAGAGAAAAGATGTATTTATTTCTTAAAATTAGTTCAGAAACATCCACCCAGTCAACTTTTACTATTAGCCCTTGAACATGCATGACGCTAGACTCACAAAATGGAACAAGATGGTGATAGCTCTGGCCCTCGGGGAGCCAGCTCTTGAGCTGCGGATACATTCCAAACATCAATGGCCCCAGCTTGAGTGGCCAATCCTGTATAGCCAGGGCACGTTCAGGTGTTACTTCAGGGGTCAACCAAGAACATGAACCCCAGCTGTCCCAGTGTACACATAAAGTAACCACATGGAAGTACAACTGGCACCTGAGGACTTTGATCTTAACTTCCACAAATTTCAGGCATCAGGAACTAAAGCATCTCAAACACACAGCCACGTATGTCACCAAATGGGAATTGGGAGATGTAATTCACCAGGATCTTGAAAAACTGGTAAAATTTAATGACAAGCGTTATTAAAAAGGTGACGGGAAATGTGTTCTAGGAAAGGGATGAGGTGGCAGAAATGAATAGGACTTCTTTGGTTATACAAAAGTAAGGGCCTTCCAAGACCAGGTATAACCAGTTTGCATGAGTATTGGTTTACTTAAAATAGCTGCAAAGGATGACTGTTACAGTCTCAAGATAGAAATCACATCAAAAACCAAGCCCTTGATTTTCTGTCTCCAAGCCCCTCTGCCCATCCCCAGTCTTCCCCATCAGTGAAGGCTATTCCATCCTGCCAGCTGATCCAGCCCAACACCTGCAGTCCTCCTTGCCTCTCTGCCTAAACTGCCTAACTCAATCCATTAGCGAATTCTTTCAGCTTCACCTTAAACATCCTACCACCCCACGCCTACCTTTCCAAACAGCAGCTCTCTGTGTAACCTCAGTGTCTTCTTAACTAGTCTACAGGATGCTGCCCCCGACTCCTTCAATCTACTCTCACCTTAGCAGCCAGACTGATCCCGCTAAAACAAGTCAGACACATTATGACTCTGTCCAAAATTCTCCGACACCTTCCATCCCACCCTGAGTAAAACCCAACATCTCTGTCGTGGCCTAGAAGCTACCAGGTGGTTTTGCCTTTACCTTGGTACCACTTTCTCTGTTAATCTAGTTCTGCTCCAGTTGTACTGACCAACTTATCTGCAGTCCATCGTGCAGTGTTAGCATGAAATACTCGCCTCCCAGATACCAATGTGGCTGCCTCCTTTGCCCTCTCTGGGTTTCTGTTCAAATGTGACATTAGAACTCTCCCCGGATCTATTTAAAAACAGCTTCCCCATCCCCAGCCCTCATCACTCCTCCTTACCCACTGATGTATCACATATTTAGGACCTCCTCTGCCCTTTGACTGATGGAATTGGATATTATCTAGAAAACAGGGATCTGCTCAAGTTGTTCAAACTTAAGAGGATGTGGTAATAATTATGCCCAATTAAGAAGACGAATTTTAAAAATGGTTCCTAAGATGTATTTTAAACATTATTGAGAGATGGGTATTTGGAGCTGCAGTTAAATCACCACTTGGGTCAGCCAACATGCAATACTGGAGTGCCTGGTTCAAGTTCTGGCTCCTCTTCCGATCCAGCTTCCTGCTAATGTGCACTTTGGGAGGCAGATGACAGCTCTCTGTTTCTGCCTTTCGAAGAACATAATAAATTATAAAAAGGAGAAACATCACTAAATTTTTAGGCGGCAAATAAAGACCCAAATTTTGCCCTTTGAATGGGGCATATATTGCCCCATTACATTACATTGCAATTACATTTCAATTGCAAATACTTGTCAGCATCAAAAATCAGATTAAATAGTATCTTAAAACTATTGTTTTAATATTGCTCAGATTCAAACAACTGGTTTGCTTTAAACGACAGCTTCAAATAAAAACTCTGATTGGTTCAGGTTTTATCTCCTTGGCTCTCTCTGCCTTATTTGCAGAGAAAGGTCTGTAAAGATACAGTAGAGAATGGGCAGAGAGCGAATCAAAAATTAAACAGGGCCAGGCATTTGGTCTAGTGGCTAAGACACCTGCATCCCATCAGAGCATCTGGGTTCCTTGCCTGCCTCTGGCTCCTGATTCCAGTTTCTTGCTAATGCAGCCCCTGCAAGGCAGTGGAGCTGGCTTAAGTATTGAGGTTCCTCAAGTAGTCAGGTTCCCTGTGAGAGATCTGGCTCCTGGCTTTGGCTCCAGTGAGGGGCTGTTGTGGATATTTGGGGAGTGAATCAGTGGATATATATTCAAAAATTAAGCAATAAAAGACCTCAAACAGTGGTTCCTCCTAGGACTTTTCCCCCTTGAGGGCCACCTACCAGGCCATGTGTCATACTGTGTGTATGTACTGGTCCCGGAGGACAGCAGGGTGTGGTGTCTATAATACAGTCCCATGCGCTCTCAGCCCACTTGCCAGCCCGTGTGAAGGTGACTCCCACATCAGTTAGCCTTGGCCTACCAATGGCCTACAACTGGAGAGACAACCCTGGAAGACCAAACACCGAGTGTGGTTGGAATGTCTATTGCTTGTTATGATAGAACAAGCTTTTCTTGTATTCTGCAGGTTAATTTTTTTTTAAAAAAAAAAACCTCGTCAAGAAGTTAATGCTTAAGAAAGATAAAGAAAGAAGCAGAGTGCCACCAAGATTTGCAGTGATCTGATTATAATTTTCTTCTTGTTTTACAGCCAACTCCAGCACATATCAAGTAAAGTCTTAATTAGCTAAATTATTTAGGAATCTCCTATTTTTATTTTTTTAAAGAAGATTTATTTATTTGAAATGCAGAGTTACAGAGAGAGAGAGAGAGAGAGAGAGAGAGAGAGAGAAGCACAAGAGAAAGAGTTCTTATATTTGCTGGTTCACTCCCCAAATGGCCGCAATGGTTGCAGCTGGGCCAGGCTGAAGCCAATAGCCCTTTTTCCCCACATTTTGCAGTACAGAAGCTTCTCAATTTGATGCAATCCCAATAGTTAATTTTTTTTTTTTTTTTGACAGGCAGAGCGGACAGTGAGAGAGAGAGACAGAGAGAAAGGTCTTCCTTTGCCGTTGGTTCACCCTCCAATGGCCGCCGCGGCCAGCGTGCTGCGGCCGGCGCACCGCGCTGATCTGATGGCAGGAGCCAGGTACTTATCCTGGTCTCCCATGGGGTGCAGGGCCCAAGCACTTGGGCCATCCTCCACTGCACTCCCTGGCCACAGCAGAGAGCTGGCCTGGAACAGGGGCAACCGGGACAGAATCCGGTGCCCCGACCGGGACTAGAACCTGGTGTGCCAGCGCCGCAAGGCGGAGGATTAGCCTAGTGAGCTGTGGCGCTAGCCAAGACATCAGTCTTAGTGGGATGTTACTGCAATCATGGGCCACAATGGAGATGAAAAGGAATACAATATATGTTCAGTACAAGTGGCTTCCTAAGCCCTGATTAAAAGGCTTTTTTCTTATAAAACTGTAGTTTGCTTTTCTGTGCTGAAATCTAAATGTAAAACAAGAAATTTCAAGTAAAATCGGAGGTCTAGTTACTTGAATGCTGATTTATTTACATCTGACTTTTGTTGGATCCATTCTAGTCAGACACCAGAGGTTAGTCTGCCCATTTTACTATAATCTAGATGTTGGGAATTCATTTCTATCCCAGAATACCTTGAATCATTCTCATCACAAGACAAATTCAAAAGCCAATACAAAATTTTTCTGTGTTCATGCACAGCTGTTAGAATGTTTAATAAAATAAAAATTGTCAGTTTGCTTAGTTCAAGATTAAGTACTGTTAATTTTAATCACTAGGTTGGACATATTTCTAAAGTTTTCAGGCTATATTCCTGCTCTCATATTTGTCTTTCTCTTCTACCACTGTAACGGTCCGTTTCTTCAACAACTTCTTGGTTAACACTATATCATGGTAAGAGCAAAAGACACAGACAGACCTGGGTTCTAATCTGAACATGTTCAGTGAGTCTTCGCCAGACTTAAGGAATCTTTTTCTCCTCTTGCTGTTTGACAGCTTTGTTCCATTAGTGCCACATGTGAGAGTGCTAGCCTACAGACAAGCATCCTATGGTTGGGGGCTGTGTCTCTGCGACGCGCTGTGGATGCTGGGAGCCTGTGCCGAGCACAACCCTTGCAGCTCAGTAAGCACTACGGCCGCGCCTCGATAGCCTCACCCTCCACCGGACGCTGCATACCCTGCCAGGACTTCCCACAAAGTCCATAGCTTTTTCCCTCAGCTGGTCAAAACCACTGGCCTAACGAATGACCCGGTAACTCAGTCAAAACGCTTGTTCTCATCCACTTCAACCGCGGCCTTAGGCCACCCTGCGTGTGAATCTCACTGAATGAATGTGGACTGGACATCTGCGGGACTAATGTATTTCAGCCTTTGATTTTTTAAAATTTTTTTTATTTTTTGACAGGCAGAGTGGACAGTGAGAGACAGAGACAGAGAGAAAGGTCTTCCTTTGCCGTTGGTTCATCCTCCCCAATGGCCGCCGTGGCCGGTGCGCTGCGGCCGGCACACCGCACTGATCTGAAGCCAGGAGCCAGGAGCTTCTCCCGATCTCCCATGTGGGTGCAGAGCCCAAGTACTTGGGCCATCCTCCACTGCACTCCCTGGCCACAGCAGAAAGCTGGCCTGGAACAGGGGCAACCTGGACAGAATCCGGCGCCCTGACCGGGACTAGAACCCGGTGTGCCGGCGCCGCAGGTGGAGAGGATTAGCCTATTGAGCCGCGGCGCCGGCCTCGGCCTTTGTTTTTAATAACATATGGGTCATGTGCTGTGAAACAGAAAAAGTTCAGAACTCAATTCCGAGTTGTGCATCAGTGCCTCTCCAGGACATTGTTCAACCGGACACCGTGGGCACAGCCTGGACAAGGTCACAGAGGACAGAGAACCAGAGGCTGAACCACATGAAAGTGCCTTTCTGGAATAAAAAGTTACTGGGTTTTATTTTCAATCTATAAACCCAAAACCAACACACGGATTTTTTTTTTTTAAGCACAATTCAACAC